TGGGGAACCCTGCGGTGGGCTGGGGTATCCTGCGGTGGGCTGGGGAACCCTGCGGTGGGCTGGGGTACCCTGCGGTGGGCTGGGGAACCCTGTGGTGGGCTGGGGTACCCTGGGGTGGGCTGGGGTACCCTTGGGTGGGCTGAGGAACCCTGCGGTGGGCTGGAACCCTGCGGTGGGCTGGGGAATCCTGCGGTGGGCTGGGGAATCCTGCGGTGGGCTGGGGAATCCTGTGGTGAGCTGGGGAATCCTGTAGTGGAATGGGATGCCCAGGATCAGGCCTTGAAGCTGAGGTTCCTGCAGGACCCTGGGCCCTGAGTCAGGTCCCCAGGAAAAACCAGAGGGATCTCTGAGCATCAGCCTAGAAGGTGTGAGGTCGGGACAAGGACAGGAGAGGCAGGGAAAGGGGAGAAGCAGCTCCAGACCGAAGGAGCCTGAAGACACAGTGGAGTCAGCCTTGAAGTCTGTCTTTCCCTCACCTCCCCTCCAAAGTGCCGCCTGGGTCTAGGACCCGCCTCCGTCTCATGCTCGGCCTCCCCCTCCGCGGCCCACCCCACTCTACTCAGGTTTCCCATAACAGAGTGCTCGAGCCTGTGATCTTGCTTTAAGCACTCCTGCAGTTTCCCGCTGAACTCAGAGTGGCATCTGCCGCCTGCCAGGCCCCCGTTGCCTCTGGCCTCACCGTGCCCGTAGGCATGTTCACTGGCTCACCGTCCATCCTCCCCACAGGAATGTGAGCTCCCCGAGTTAGGACTGCCTGGCTAGCTAGTGCTGCTTCTGCCTGTCCCACCTCCAGGCTCTCCCACTTGCTTCCCTGCAGCACAGGGCTGCCCTCCTGAGCGGCCCTAGGCCTCACGACATCACTGCTCTGTCCTCCAACCCTGACTCAGCCTCCCCAGCTCCTGGAGGCCTGAGGTCTCAGCTCACATGACTTCTCCTCCGGGAAGCTTCCTTGAACCATATCCCAGACTGGAGGGAGCCTGCTCTGGTCCTCGCGCCCCTCGCGCCCCTGGACCGTGGCCTTGCTGTCCTGTCTGCTCCTCGTCCCTTGTCCTCAGGACTGATCACATGTCGGAGGCCCAGCAAAGAGCTTCAAATGACAGCGATGATGGTGAGGGCTGCGGTCCTTCCCCTGGCAGCCTCTGCCTCTCTGCCCCTCTCCATGTATCTGTCTCCCCTGCGTGCCCACTGCTGTTTACCCAGCTCATGTGCAAGGAAGGACAGAGTCAGCATCCGAGTGGCTATGGGTGCGGACTCACCGCATTTGCTGTCCTGTAGCACCTGGCCTGCGCTGCACGTCCCCTGCCCCTCCAGGGCCTTGGCTGGCCTCTGGGCTACCTCGTACTCAGTGCCTGAGACCTGGACGTAGAAGTGTTGCCGGCCGATGGTCTTCCGCAGGGTCTTGATGGCAGCCTGCAAGCTCTGTTCCGCTCGCTTCCGCAAGCAGTCCGCTTCACACGTGTCTGCAGGGGCAGGAGAGACAGAACAGGAATGACTGGCAGCCCTGCTAGCAGCTGCCTTCTTAGCCGAGGGCTTCCCTGTGCCAGGCCCTGTATTGGGCTCGGACCACCGCAGCACATTCTCACAACAGCCCTGGGGTGAGGGGCCACGGTCATGACCGTCTGACAGAGGAGGAGGCTGTGGATCTGGGAGGCATGGCTTACCCAAGGCCACACAGCAGATCTGAGTGCAATCCAGGCATCTGCCACTGCGACATGTCACCCCCCAGGGTACAACCCACAGGGCAAGAACTGCCACTGTCTGCAGGATAGCATCCAGCTCGCTGGCTGTGAATCCAAGGCCCTTCGAGGTCCAGCCCCATGCAGCCTTGCCAGCCTCATCCCCCAAAACTCTGACACTCCCTGTGAATTCCAATGTCTAGCCACCCTGCCCTACTCACTGTTGGCCATATCCTCCTCTCTCTGACCTCTGTGCCTTTGACTATTCTATTCCCTCTGCCTGGATGCCATTCCTTGCCACCTCTTCCATCCAGTGAGCTTTGATTCCAAGCTCTCATTCAAATGGCGCCTCTTCTGGGAAGGCTTCCTGATATGGTTTCGATATCTGTCCCTTCCAAACCTCATGTTGAAATCGGATCCGCAATCATGGAGGTGGGGCCTGGTGGGAGGCGTCTGGCCCATGGGGTAGGTCCCTCATGGGGTAGGTCCCTCATGAACCCGCTGTCCTCGTGGCAGTGAGTTCTCGCTGGCTCTACCAGTCCCCATGAGATGTGATTGTTGAAAAGAGGCAGGCACCCCCTCCCCTCTCTCTTGCTCCTTTCCTCTTGCCATGTGACTCTGGCTGCTCTTCACCTTCCTCCATGAGCAGAAGCAACCTAGGCCCTCACCAGATGCAGACACTGCAGCCATGTTTACCAACAGCCTGCAGAGCCATGAGCCAATCAACTCTCTTCCTGATAAATCATCCAGCCTCAGGTGTTCCTTTTAGCAATGCAAATAGACTAAGACATTTCCTTTTTTTTTTTTTGAGATGGAGTCTTGCTCTGTCACCCAGGCTGGGGTGCCGTGGCAAGAGCTCAGCTCACGGCAACTTCTGCCTCCTGGGTTTAAGCAATTCTCCTGCCTCAGTCTCCTGAGTAGCTGGGATTACAGGTTCCTGGTACCATGCCCTGCTAATTTTTGTATTTTTAGTAGAGATGGGGTTTCACCATGTTAGCCAGGCTGGTCTTGAACCCCTAACCTCAATGATCCACCCATCTCAGCCTCCCAGAGTGCTGGGATTACGGGCGTGAGCCACCGAGTCTGGCCAGACTAAGACATTTCCTGAGCCTTCCTGTGGGGAGAGACCTGGGCTCTATGCGTTGTTTGTTCTTGTGCCCCCACCACTGAGAGTATCACCTAGCAATGGGTGGTTTGCATGCTCTGTGGCTGTGTTACCTAGGTGGGGACTTTTCTTTCCACTGTGCCCAAGCCCACAGCCAGGCCCACACCACACACATCTGCTGACAGATCCCGTCTCTTCACCATGGACGATTCACAAGTTGACACTCACGGATAGCCAAGAGCGAAGTGCTGCTATGCCACCCAAGCCAGCATTAGAATCCCCCTCTGGAACTGGGAAAGACAGTCCTTGGCTCAGCCATGCTGGGGAGGCTGCACCTATTTGTCCTCCCAGGCCCCAGCAGCGTGGCAGAGAGGGGTCACGTGACTTCTGCGGTCACCCCGCCCTTCCCTCTCATTGCCTTGACTGCCTCTTCTACCCTGGGCTGCAGGCGCTGACCCCTGCCAGTCCCTTTGCTCGTGGGCTCAGTGCTCTCTCCAGAAGCTGGGCTCCCACCCAAACCACAGCTGTGCTCTGGTGGGAACCGCTCATGCCTGGCAGGCCCCGCCAGCACCCCCAGCCTGTCGTCCTCCTTCGGGCCTGCAGAGCCCTGAGAGGACCCCTCACCTACCTGAGGCCTCTTCCATCCTGGTCTCGATCTCAAACTCTGCTGTGATGTGGGACAGCTCCTTGGATGGGGACTTGCGGCCACGGCGCCTCTTCTTGGAGGAGTCACACTTGAGGGTCACGAAAGTCACGTGGCAGTGGTCTGGACAAGGAAAGGACTGCCGTGGCAAAGGCAGCATGGGGCAGGGAGCAAGGTCCTACCAAGCCCTGCACACAGAGTGCCATGGGCCAGGACCCTCTGTGCCTAACAGTCTGTGGTGTAGATGGAGAAACTGAGGCTGGAGAAGGCCAGGGCTGACTCAGGGTATCAGGAGGGGCTGGTGGCTGAGCCAGGTCTCACCCCCGTCCATCATGCTGCTGCAGGTGGAGGCACCTCATACATATTCATGAATGAGGCTGTGCCGCCAGCTCCAGGCCTGCTGAGGGTTTGGCCAGGGTGGACTTGGCCCCAGGCAGAGCCTGCTGTGTGCAGAGAGCTCTGTTTGGTTTGAGGAGGAATATTCATGGGGACAGAGGTAGCTCCTTCCTCTGGGGCCCCTTGGACCAAGTTTGCCCTCTGCTATTCCCCAGGCCTGGAATGTCCTTGGAAACCCTCATTAAGTAAAGAGCTGCCAGGTGAGAGAGGCCTCTATCCTTGGAAAGCAGACTTGCTGGACGCTGGGCCCCCCGCTCCCAGGCATGAGGACTCCCCCGCAGCCCCCTCGGTGTGGGTTAGCAGCAGGGCGGCCCACTCACCCAGCAGCGGCTGCCTGGTGGTCTCCTTTGCTCGTGCCTGCCTGTGGGGCTGGAGGTGGCACTTGGCATCTCGGATCTTGAAGCGGGCTTTCTGTTTGATGGGGGTGGTGGGGGCATCTGGGGAAAGCCAAAATTCCCCCAGGTGGTGGCCTCTCCTGCAGGCAAGGAGGTGGTAGGGGACGGCGGCTGCCAGTGGACAAGTCCACCTGGAGCTGGGGGTGGGGCCTGGTCTGAGTCCCTGTGCCCCCAAAACTCTCCTGGGGTGGGGAACCCTCTCCTATCCCATTTCTTTCCCTGCAAGGCCTAAAACAGGGGAACAGAACACATGGACGTTGGGGTCAAGCTCAAGCCCAGGGGCTGTCTGCCGGAGGTCTTCTGTGAAGGAGGAAAGGGATCCTCCTTCCTCCTCCCCATCACCAGGCCGTGACTGTGCTTTAGGAGAGCATTGAACGGAAGAGAGAGGGGAGCAAGGAAGGGAAGGAGCTTTGAAATAGTATAGATTCCCAGGACTGCCGATTCTTTGCAAGAGCAAATCATAGTCCTTGGACTAAAGATCCTACCACCACAGGTGCTAAGAATCAAGTCATGCATACATTAAATATACAGAAATGGGCTGGGCACGGTGGTTCATGCCTGTAATCCCAACATTTTGGGAGGCCTAGGTGGTGGATCACTTGAGGTCAGGAGTTCAAGACCAGCCTGACTAAAATGGTGAAACCCTGTCTCTATTAATAATATGAAAATTAGCCAGGTGTGGTGGTGGACGCCTGTAATCCTAGCTACTCAGGAGGCTGAAGCAGGGGAATCACTTGAACCTGGGAGGTGGAGTTTGCAGTGAGCTGAGATCACATCACTGTACTCCAGCCTGGGTGACAGAGCGAGACTCTGTTTCAAAATAATAATAATAAAGAAATGGCCAGGTGTGGTGGCTCATGCCTGTAATCCCAGAGCTTTGGAAGGCTAAGGCAGGTGGACTGCCTGAGGTTAGGAGTTCGAGACCAGTCTGGCCAACATGGTGAAACCCGGTCTCTACAAAAAATACAAAAAAATTAGCCAGATGTGGTGGCATGTGCCTGTAATTCCAGCTACTTGGGAAGCTGAGGCAGGGGAACTGCTTGAACCAGGGAGGTGGAGGTTTTAGTGAGCTGAGATCAAGCCACTGCACTCCAGCCTGGGTGACAGAGCAAGATTCCATCTCAAAAGAGGAAAAGGCACTGGCAAACATATAGAAATGTACCTATCAACCAAATCCAACATCTGAATAAGAAAAGCTGCTGAGGACACAAGCCCCAGCTCCTTAGCTGGCAGGAGATGAGGCTGGCTGTGCCATGCTGACCATGCCCGGCGGGTCACCCCACAGGGCTGGGGCTGTGCTGTGCCTTGGAGCTTCCTGGCGCACTCTGCCGGGACAGCTCCGTCCCAGGAGAACCTAACGGCCATAGCAGATGTGGCTCGCTCCGCCCAAACATTCTGAGATCTGTGCACTCCCAGCATGTTAGGGTCCCTGAACCACTATGGCTGTGACCTCAGAGCCAGAAGGGCCCTCCCACGGTCCCCTGACCCTGGGCTGGGGCTCGGCTTGCAGCCTGCTGGCTTCTAGGTCCTGGGCCTGCCTCATCGCCAGTACCCCAGGCCACACTGGGAAGGGCCAAGAGCAGGAAGGTCTTCCCTGAGCGGTGCCCCTTCCTCCCCCGCCAGTATGATGCTAGATGCAAAGCCAAGGTCACCTAGTTGCATGCAGCATGGACAGGCCGAGGGGCTACCTGAGCAGCTGGGCCCGAGGCCAGAGCTGGTGCCGTTGCGTTTCTGCAGCGCCTTGCCCTGCAGCCCTGGAACGCCGCAGCTCAGGATGTAGCTGTTTTCCGAGTCTGCAGAGAGGCCAGGGATGAGATGGGCCCGGGTGCACCTCCCTCCCATGGCCCTCAGAGGGATTGTGGAGTGAGATGAAGATCAGCACAGACTCTTCTGCCAGTTTCTGCTACTCGACCACAGGTAAGTGGCCAGCGGGAAGGGGCCCACTGGATTTACTGAGGACAGTGAGGGCCCAGAAATCCAGACAGTTGCCTTAGGGTCGCTCAGTGATCAGAGACCCTCATTCCTAGATCAGGCTCCTTCCCAGAGGACCGCTGGGAGCAATGGTGGAAGCCCAGGGAAGAAGACCCCCTGCCACAGCATCCCCTCCCAGGGACAGCCTGGGTTACCTGGCATGAAGAGCGTGTGGGCCGGGCAGGAAAGGAAGCAGCTCTCCACACCGCCCACTTTGCTGCAGGAAAGCTGGGCCCGCGGCGAGGTCTTGGCCCGAGAAAGGCACCTGCCTGTCTCTGTGAAGGAAGACATCAGAGAGGGGTGAGAGAGGCCAGGGTGGAAGCTTGCTGGAGCCGGGAGGGCCCCAGGGCATGGACCAACGGGGAGTCCCCCGACTCCTCCTTTCCATGTCTAGGCTGGCTTAGTGGGAAGGGGCCTGGAGACGGCAGGTCCAGATCCCCTTGGTCGTGTGGGAATGCTGGACCTAGAGAGCTGGCTTAGTCCCTCCCCCACCTCAGGCCCTGGTCCTGGCTGTGAGAAGGTTCCTGTCCCATCCCCACACCAGGAACTCCCTGAGCTCTCCACGGCAGGTGTACATTCCCGCTGGGGAAAGGAACAGCGGTAAATGAACATGGGCTTCCTGGGAGCGACCCGTTTTTGAAGGAGAAGCTCATTTTTGTGTTTCTGTACTTCAGAAGTGTTCATAGGCAGAACAGACCTTTTGGGCAATCCATAACAAATCCTGAGTCGGTATTGTTTATTGATGCGACTTATCTTAAAAATGAACAGATCCTATAATTCATATGGAAATTCAAGGAAGTTCAAGAATAGTCAAATCAATCTTGTACATGAAATACAAAGTGGAGGACTCACACTTTCCATTTAAAAAATTTACTAGGGAGCTACAGTAATCAAGATAGTGGGGTCTTAGCATAAGGACACACAGAAAGATCAATGGAACAGAACCGAGCGTTCTATTTATAGAAAGAAATCCACACTTCTTCAGTCAACTGACTTTGACGAGGATATCAAGACAATTCAATGGAAAAAAATGATCTTTTCGGCAAATGATGCTGTGACAACTGGGTGGCCACATGCAAAAGAGTAAAGTTGGGCTCACATTTCACACCATATTCTAAAGCTATCAAACTCTTAGAAGAAGACGTAAGTGTACATCTTTGGGACCTCTGACTAGGCAATGATTTCTTAGAAATGATGCCAAAACACAAACAACCAAGAAAAAGAATAAACTGGACTTCACGAAAATTAAAAGACTTTTTGTGATTCAAAGGACGCCGTAAAGAAAGCGAAAGATGCTCAGAGCAGAGGCATGAGCTGACAGTCCCAGCGACTCAGGAGGCTGAGGCGGGAGGATCACTTGAAAAGAAAGTGAAAAGTCAACTCACAGAACGGGAGAAAAGATTTGCCAGTCATGTACCTAATAAGGGACATGCATACAGAATATCCAAAGAAATCTTACAATTCTATAAGGACAACTCAGTTTTGTTTTTTTTGTTTTTGAGATGGAGTCTCGCTCTGTTGTCCAGGCTGGAGTGCAGTGGCGCCATCTTGGTTCACTGCAACCTCCGCCTTCTGGGTTCAAGAGATTCTCCTGCCTCAGCATTCTGAGCAGCTAGGACTACAGGCATGGGCCACCATGCCCGGCTAATTTTTTGTGTTTTTTGTAGAGATGGGGTTTCACTGTTTTAGGATGGTCTAGATCTCCTGATCTCGTGATCCACCTGCTTCGGCCTCCCAGAGTGCTGGGATTACAGGTGTGAGCCACAGTGCCTGGCCGAGGCAACATACTTTTTTTTTTTTTTTTTTTTGAGACGGAGTTTCGCTCTTGTTACCCAGGCTGGAGTGCAATGGCGCGATCTCGGCTCACCGCAACCTCCGCCTCCTGGGTTCAGGCAATTCTCCTGCCTCAGCCTCCTGAGTAGCTGGGATTACAGGCACGCGCCACCATGCCCAGCTAATGTTTTGTATTTTTAGTAGAGACGGGGTTTCACCATGTTGACCAGGATGGTCTCGATCTCTTGACCTCGTGATCCACCCGCCTCGGCCTCCCAAAGTGCTGGGATTACAGGCTTGAGCCACCGTGCCCGGCAGCAACATACTTTTAAAAGGGCTAGATAGCTAGCTCCAAATTACATACACAAATGGAAAAGCAGCACATGGAAAATATTCAACATCATTAGCTGTCGGGAATAAAAAAAAAAAGTGAGATACCATCTCACACCCACTAGGATGGCTATAAGTGAAACGTCAGATAACAGCAAGCGCCGGTGAGGCTGTGGAGGCATCGGAACTCTGATACGTCACTGGTGGGAATGGAACAATGGTGCAGGCCCTTTGGAAAACAGTCTGGCAGTTCCCTAAAAGTTAGACACAGTTACCACATGATCCCCCAATTCTAACCCTACGTCTACACCGCAAAGAACTGAAAACACGTACACACACAAAGCTGTACACGTTCACAGCAGCGTTATTCATCATAGCCCCAACGTGGAACAACCTAACTGACCACCGATGGATGAATACATGAAACGTGATATTATGGCCATCCAATGGACTGCGACTAGCAAGACAAAGGAATGGGACAGAAATACCAGCCGCTACATGGTGAACTGTGAAAACGTGATACTAAATGGAATCAGCCAGTCACAAAATATCATCATATTGTGTAATCCCATTTATATAAAATGTCTATGATAGGCAACTCCATAGAGTTGGATTAGGGGTTTAGTGGGTGCCAGGGCCTGGAGGACTTGAGGGAAAATGGGCAGTGGCTGCTGTGGACACAGGATTTCTTTCCGGAGAAATGAAAATCCTCTAAAATTTATGCGGCTGCACAACTCTATGAAAAAACTCACTGAAACGGACACTTTTAAGCTGTTTTGCCCAAGACCTTGGAATCAATTCTCTTAGATGTTTGCAAATGGCAATTTCCATAGCCTCTCCTTTGTGTATTTGTATTCTTTATTCTTCTGGTCATGTGTTCTCACCTTAGGGATTTCAGGTTGTACGCTTCTGACTTACACTACCATCTGTCTCTTACAAATAACTCACCTAGATCCAGGTTTTATGAGGGATACCCACTATCCTAATTCTCTCCATTAGCTCTCCCAAGCTATTGCTAGTGCAGATAAGTGGAAAAATGGTCCAAAGCATGTTACCTGAGCCTTATTCATTATGATATTCTTGGCTGGGTGTGGTGGCTCACGCCTGTAATCCCAGCACTTTGAGAGGCCGAGGATTGTGGATCACCTGAGGTCAGGACTTTGAGACCAGCTTGGCCAACGTGGTAAAACTCCGTCTCTACTAAAAATAAAAAAATTAGCTAGGTGTGGTGGTGGGCGCCTGTAATCCCAGCTACTCGGGAGGCTGAGGCAGGAGGATCACTTGAACCTGGGAGGCAGAGTTTGCAGTAAGCCAAGATGGCGCCATTGCACTCCAGCCTGGGTGACAGAGCACGACTCTAACTCAAGAAAAAAAAAATTATAATATTCTTTTTAGCAAATGCATAAAAAAGGAAAAGGCCCTTGTACTGGGAGAAGTGGATTCAGCTGTTCTTGCAATGTATCTTTTTATCACACCATCACCCATGTAATATACCTACAGCTCTACTAAAGTTGATCACACCTCTCTTTTTTTGAGACAGGGTCTGTCTGTCACCCAGGCTGGAGTGCAGTGGTGTGATCTCTGCTTAATACAACCTCTGCCTCCCGGGTTCAAGTGATTCCCCTGCCTCAGTGTCCAGAGTAGCTGAGACTACTGGCATGTGCCACCATGTCCGGCTAATTTCTGTATTTTTTAGTAGAGATGGGGTTTCGCCGTGTTGCCCAGGCTGGTCTCAAACTCCTGACCTCAGATAATCTGCCCACCTCGGCCTCCCAAAGTGCTGGGATTATAGGTGTGAGCCACCGCGCTCGGCCGAATGTTTCTTTCTGAGAAGCGCAATGTGTCAGCCTCTTTCTTCCACCACTGAGTTTCCCTGGCCTTTGGAGGCAGGTCTGCATAAAGCTGCTCACCATGGAGCCGTGACCCCAACATCCTCAGCAACGCTTTCCTGCAGAGATCTGAAGGTACCATAGCCTTCCTATGCCTCTAAGATGGACATCCGCTAATGCCGCCTCTGCTACCAGAACAACTCCAAATGAACTGTTTCCCCAAACTCAACGTGAGAGCGGCAGGTGACTTTGTTCAGTGAGACTCTGCAGCACAGCACAGCACAGCATTTCCTTCCATAAGCATGTGATAAACTTGGCATTTTGATTTCAGATATTAAGTGATGGCCAGTATTTGTCAATCTGTTCATTCATCCAACAAACGTTTACTGCGTGTCTATGACTGTCAGGCTCTGTTCCAGGTGCTGCGGCTCCAGCAGTGAATGGGACAGGCCATGAAGACCTGCTCAACCATGTCAAGCTTACATTCTCGTGAGGACAGACAGAGAGACGGGCAGACAGACAGACACAAACCAGCAGGAACCTGGAAAGTGCACGTTACTTCTGGTGGCAGGGAGTGTGATGGGGGGGAAGAAAGCTGGAAGCAAAGTGGGCCCAGATGGGTGCGGAAGTGGCCGAGGCTGCGGCCCTGGGTGGGTGATGGGGCAGGTGTCACCCACAGACCCCACAGCAAGGGAGGAGTAAGGAGTGCTGTGGGAGAGCTCTCCAGGCCAAGAGAAGGGCACAGCCTCGGGCCAAGGGCTGGTGGAGGCCTGTGAGGTCAGTGAGGCTGGCGTGAAGCGAGACAGGGGGACAGCAGAGGGCAATCCCGCCAGGTGGCAGCAGCCTGTGGGCCATTCCAAGCACTGTGGCCTTGATTCGGAGTCAAAGGAGGAGTTGGGGAGGGGGGGGTGGTTTCTGAGCTGAGAGGGATGCTCTAACTTAAATGTAAAAGGCTCACTTTGGCTGCCCTGGGGATGTTAGAGTGTGGCAGGGCAAGGACCTGGAGCAGAGGTTCCAGGAGGGCAGGTCCACAGCCCCAGCACCCAGACAGGGCCCCGTGTACAGGGAACCAGGGAACGCAGGGGCTCTTCCAGAACTCAGCCTCGGGGCACCCAGTGCTGGGAGCTCACCTGCAGAGGAGGCAGTGGCACATCCCCACAACTGTGCCCCACTGAGGCTACTGTACCCCGATAACCACTCCTCCTCCCCCTCAGCTTCCTCAGCAAGACAAGGGGAAGCTCTGAGAGGAGAGGTCTCTACACCCACTCCCCGTAAGCTTCCGGCCTCACGGAGACATCAGCAAGGCTGATGTCGCTCGCTCCACGGCTGGGGCTACACGTGGACCCCCAGATCTCTGTACCCTCCTCTGCACTGCAGGCCCCTGTTGCTGTGTCTCTGGCTGACACTTGCATGCTCTGCCACCTGGGACCCTCCTCTCCTGCAAGTCCTCATTCCCATCAGCCACAGCCCAGCAGCAGAGAACCCCTGCCTGGGAACGCAGGGCCTAGAGGAAAGGGAGGGGCTGCCTGTTCACCCCCACCTTGGAAAAGCCGCTGCCCCTCCCGTCCAAGCCCGGGTGCAGGGGAGGAGCCCGCACGGGGCGGCCACCTACCCATGCAGTCCTTCCGGTTCCAGTGGAGCCGCCTCCCCGGGGGACAGGAACACTCATAGCTGCCCTTGGTATTGACACAGCCCTGGCCACAGCTCCCGTTGTCCACGCTGCACTCGTCCACATCTGGAAGCACAGTGGGCGTAAGGGCAGGGGGGCAGCTGGCAGGGGAAGGGACCACCCGGGGCAAGAGGGTCGAGAATCTCCTGACCCCCCTGGGTCGGACAGCTTCACGGATGCAGAGGAGCAGGGCAAGCACCACATGTGCACACACGTGTGGATGTATAAAGCTCCTCACAGACCCTGGCGTCCCTTCCCCCAGGAACCGCGGTTGTTTTCTGAGCTCAAGCAGTTGCAGCGAGGCTGGGAGGCAGAGACGGCGGCACACGATCAAAGTGCCAGCACCGCCAGGTTTTGTGGCGCAGGGAAGGCGCACTGCTCCAGGGACGGAGACTGATTTTACCGTAGGACTCGGGACAAGCCCTTTTCTAGCCCCAGGTCCCGCCGGTACAGCAGACACCAGGGTCAAGTAAGTCACCACTAAGGCCCTTCCTACCCTGACCAAAAGCTGGGAGGAAGCTGGGAGAGAGGGGCTGGCCACATTCTGTTAGTTCTTGAGCTGCCTGCACTCGGCAGGCCCAGGGAAGGGTGCCCAGGTTTCCAAGAGTCTTTCCAGAAGAATCTGTAGCCCACTCCAGAAGCCCAAGCACCAGCTATGTTCTGATCACACTCCTGCCTTACCCTGTCCGATCTTCAAGCTGCCTGGCGTTGTGACTGTGGCTACCCCCCAGTCACAGAACAGGAAGAGACACGGGGACCATCCTTGGCTTCCCAATCTTCACCCACCATTCCCATATAACACCAAGTCCCAGCAGCCTGCCTCTGGCTCCTAAATACATCTAGAACCCTCGTCTTTGTTCTGTCTGCCCCCCGCCGCTGCAGCTACAGCAGCGCATGCCTGGAGCTGTCTTCCCACGGGTATCCCGGCTTCCACTCTCCTGTCCATGTCGCCACTGGGGCATACAGTTCCATGAACTTGACCATATCACACCCCTGCTTAAACCCTCCATGGGCTTCTCGTCTGACTGGGAATAAACCCCCAAGTTCCCTGTGGGCTCACAAAGTCTGCGTCGTGGGGTGGTGCACGCCCCACCGCCACCTGTGTCTTCCTCGAAGCTCCCTCTTCCTGTGGGCTCCAGCCCTGCGGCTGCCTCTCACTCCTGCTGCCCGTTGCCTTTTCATGCAGACCCCTCTGGAGTGCCTCCCCACCCCCTCCAAAACCTTCCCCTTGAGGATCCTGAATGGCCCCTGTACTTTGCCGTTCTCTGCTGTGAGCCCCTCCCCTGGAACGAGCTGTCTGCAGGATTTCCACGTATTGGCCGCCCCCACTCCTGGCCCGGGTTCTCTAGTATATGTGGTTTCCAAGCCTGTACCCATCTGGCCAAGGCCTAGCACCAGCAGAGACCTGCCACTCATCTCTAACCGTCCCCTGCTCCCCCAACCTCCACTCCTGCCCCACTTGGCCTTGGCTGAGCCCCTCTGCCCAGCAGTCCCCATCCTTAGGCCCCGGGCCCCCCAGGGTTGAAGGCAGGGTTGGGATGCGGGGTGCAGTGTAGGTGGCCATGTGGCCGGGCGCGTGCCTCGGGGGGGAGGTGGCCCTGGTGGGCAGGCTGCAGACCTCCGCAGTGGGTCGTCCCGTAGAGGATGTAGCCGCGGTGACACAGGCACTGGAAGCTGCCCGGGGAGTTGGTGCAGACGTGGTCACAGGTCCGCTCGAAGGAGCACTCATCGATGTCTGCGTGGCCACAGGGAGACAAAGTTGGGGGAGGAGTTTGAGGGAGAGGTGGGTGGGCACGGCCTGTCACTCTCAGCCGCTCAAGGCACATCTGTGGACACAGTCCCTGGACCGAGGCGCAGCACAGCACCAGCCTACGGAAACGGGAGGCTCCACTGGTCTCCACTAGCCTCCAGTTTCTGGGTTAGGAGCCACCTCACATCCTTTCTGGAGATGAGCAGGGCAGGAACATTGTGAATAGAAGGGATGATGATCAATCTCTGCCATTTCACTATCTCACAGTCAACTCTGATCAATAGAGGGAGAGAACCATTTAATCCATACCTGCAGGAAACTGACTGCAGCTGGCCCCAGGGCCCCGAGGAGGCAGCTGACCTGGGACATAAACCTAGGCCTCTTGGATGCTGACCAAAGCATGTTTCCCCATCACCCCACGAGGTTTCTTGAGAAAATAAGGGAAACAGCACAAGTAAAAAAGGAGAAGAGGAGATATGCTACCCATAAAGGTTAAAAAGGGAGCTGTGACAGTATGTAAAAGGTGATGATGAACTTCCTGGCAGCCAAGGTAAAAGGGGAAAGAGGGAAGGTCACGGGGTGTTTGCCCCTGGAAAGGAAAAAATGACCCACCATGTTGACTGGAGACAAAGCTGTCCTGATCACAAATTCTGAGAAAAATGGCTTTTATGGGAGAGTTGATGGGGGACCCTGAAGGCAAAACAGACACCAACCTGCCCCTCCTTGGGCATAGCAGTTAAGAGTTCAGTCTTTGAAAACGTTAGCTCATGTAATTTCACACAGATTTGTAATATATGCATGTTTATAAAAACACTAACAGCCGGGTGCGGTGGCTCACGCCTGTAATCCCAGCACTTTGGGAGGCTGAGGCAGGTGGATCACAAGGTCAGGAGATCGAGACCATCCTGGCCAACATGGTGAAACTCCGTCTCTACTAAAAATACAAAAATAAGCAAGGCGTGGTAGTTTGTGCCTGTATTCCCAGCTACATGGGAGACTGAGGCAGGAGACTCACATGAATCCAGGAGGGGGAGGTTGCAGTGAGCTGAGATGGCGCCACTGCACTCCAGCTGGCAAGAGAGCCTTTCTGGGACTCCGCCTCAGAAAAACAGAACAACAAAAAACCTGCAAAACACTAACACAAGGAAGAAATTGTGCGTGGGTGCTCAAAGTCGAGTGTGATTCCTCCCAGAGAAATCTGGGACCTCCTGGTGCTCGTGGCACCTGGGCTAGAATCTGAAGGATGGGACCAGCCTGGAATGAGGGAATGAGTGTGGAAGGGTGCTCCAGGCAGCAGCTAGGAGGTAGGAGCATGGGGCACCTGGGACGCACCCGTACCCTTGGGCCCAGCCCAAGGGAACTCCCCTCCTCTCCTAGGAGCATGCAGAAGCCCAGAGGGGAAGGGGCGCTGACTCCAATGGGCCCGAGGGCTGCCCGGGGCACCGCAGGGGCTCACCCTGACAGGTCTGCTTGTGTGGAGCCCAAGGAGGACTGGGGAGGTGTCTGGGGTCCCCTGAGTGCCAAGCAAAGGAGCATGGACCCCTCCCTGCTAGACCTGTGGAGCTTGGAGCCCAAGACCTCAGAGAGATGAGCCTGGAGGGGGTGGGAAAAGGAAGGTGGGGTGGGGCGGGTGAGGACAGGGCCTCACAGGCGGTCTCATCTCCTCCTCGACAGCCCCTGCCTCCCTCAGGGGCAGCTGGGGTGCAAAGTCCTCTACAGAACTTGGCAAGGCCAACAGAGAAACAAAGGCAAAGTCAGAGGAACCCTGACAGGGCCTGGACAGACACTGTGCTCCTAACCAGCCCTCAGGCCCCAAGGAGAAGGCAGGGCCAGGGTGCCCGGCCAGGGACGAAGAGGCTGGCCCCGGGCACGCGGTGATTCTGAGGCTGGCCGGCCCTGGCCTCACTCCCGCCACCTCCTGCTCTCACCTTCCTCAGGGGCCTTTCGGGACCACAGCCCTCGCTCCTCAGGGCCCCATGCTGCCCCGTGGCAGCCCCTGAGTGGCACTGACAGGCAGAAGTACAGCCTGGTGTCCAGATGAGGCCACATGCCACCCACTACTGCCGGTACCCTACAGGCACAGAACAACCCGACCGCAGCTGGGTAATCGTCGGGGAAAGAGAGCCCCTGCCTTGCCACGTGGGCGCCCCTCACTTGAGCTTTCTCCCAATGTGGGTCCCACGGGGCATCCGTCTCCTTCCTCATGGCCTCATGCGGCCCCACCAAGTTCCCTGTGTTCCCCGAAACCTCCTCAGGCCACCGTGCCATCTCCTGGGTGGCTTTAGCTCCCTCCCTCCTCCTGGAAAATTCCTATTTAGCTCTCAAGCATCTCACCACCAGACCCTCCCCCGTAACCTTCCCTGACCCCGCTCTGCACTGTCCAGCCTCTGGGGTCCTGCTGCATCCTGGGTCCCACTAGACTTGCCCTGGGCTGGGATTCTTAGCTTCTGCTAGACCCTTCTTTATCATCCTTGCTCCCAGCAGGTGCCCAGACCCTGACGATTGTTCCAGAGCGCCTGCCTGCAATGTGCAGCGCCTTCCAACAGATGGCAGCATCCCACCTCTGAAGCCAGAGGGGTTCGCCATAGGGAGGCCCGTGGGCCACCTGGGAGGGGAGGGGCGCGGTGAGCTGATGAGCTCGACCACCCGCCTGTGCTAAAACCTCCCCAGGCCTCAGTTTCCCATCAACAAAAGGAACAGATTGGACTGATGGCCCCTAGAGTCATAAAGGACCCCGTTCCCTCGGGCCAAGCCCCATCAGCACTCCCCACCCCTCCTAGGAGTTCAGGAGTGGAAGAGGCGTGACCCCGCTGGCCCGAGGGCCGCCCGGGGCGTGGCAGGGGCTCACCCTGGCAGGTGCGCTCGTCCGTGAGCAGCTTGTAGCCCTTCCGACAGCTGCACTCGAAGCTGCCCACAGTGTTGCGGCAGAAGTGGTCGCAGCCCCCGTTGTTGACCAGGCACTCGTTGATATCTGTGGGAGCCAAGCGGGAGGAAAGGGTGAGCCAGGAGAACGTGCTTGTGTGACCAGCAGGGGGATGACACTGCCCTGACTTGCCCACTGCCCACTGCCCAGGCTGGCTGCTGGCTCCCCAGCTGGATATCTCGCAGGGGCTGGGGCAGGGGCTGGGTTTTACTGTGAAGGGCCAGCTCCCCAGGCTTCTCTGCTTCCCCTGAGACCTGGCGAGCCTGGCACACATGACACGGAGTAGAGAGGAACTGATGGCTGCTGTGCCCAGCAAGAAAGTAGGGATGATGACTCTCCCATGTCCTCTCCACTGTGCGTTCAGGGGGGCCGCCTGGCCAGCGTGGAGGCTGCAGCAGGCAGGCACCACCTCTGGTGACCTCAGCAACCCCCGAACCCCTGAGCCTTGGCCTCCTGTCCGCAGAGCAAGGACAGGAAGTGCACCCACTCTGAAGGACATCACGAGGACGAGGTGAAACAACATTCCCGCGGTGACGGTGCTTGGTCAGCGCTCAAGCCGCTTTTTTCAAAAAGACAGCATTTTTGCCTCTGTTTGAGGAGTCACTGAGGCTTAGAGAGGGAGAGCACCCGCTTCAAGAGGCTTCAGAAGGTAAGTGGGGGGCTGGGCTGTGCGGCGGGGTGGCGCTCCCCCTTTCCCACCTGGTTCCCCGCCTGTTTGTTGGAGCTGCTGCTTTGCTGCAGTGAATGAGCTGTAGTCTGCTCTGAAGGTCGCCCAGCCCGATCCCATGTAGAAGCCTCATCTCCAAGGGACATGGTCTCAGCTACTTCCAAATTCTCTTGGGTCCCCACCTCCAGCCCCCACTCCTTCTAGACCCTCTCTAGCAAAGAGAACACAAACAGGGGTTTTGTTTCTACACTCCAGGGTGGCTTACAAAAATCCTCAGGGCTGGCATTCAGGACAGTGGTCTCACCCTGACTTGGAGGGACAAAAAGGAAGCCGTGGAAGAGGCCCGTCCAGGGAGGACAAGGGGAGGAGCAGCCCCTTGTGGATCCCTGACCCCCACTCAGCAGACCTGCCAGATGCATATTCCAGCATCTGCAGAGCCTGTCCTGGGCGTGGTTGCTGGGCCGGTGCCTGAGGGCCCCGTCCTGTGTAGCTGGCACTGCCTCGTGTGGAAGGTAAGCCTGCCCCCACTTTCCAGATGGGACACGGAGCCCTGTGGAGGCAACGTGTTCCTGGCACTGCGACTCTGACCTCAGGCCAGCCCGTGTCGCTCTACTTTATTTCCCTCAATCCAAACAGGAGGGACTCAATACCTGCCCAAAGTCCTCAAGCAGTGTTCGCAGGGAACGTTCCCCACCGATGACAACACAAGGACATCAGAGGTCAAGTCTCTGGTCGAGGATATTAGATGGGTGTAGGGATGAGAGGCCCACATGGCTCTCGGAGCCTTGGGGAGGGACATGCCAGGCACTTTCTGGTAACATATCATGTGACCTTCAAAACAACCCAGAGAGCAGGGCTCCCATTTGACAGATGAGGTCACATGCAGGAGCTGGGTCTCAGCCAGCACCATCTGAACCCAAAGACAGGCCTTCTGCAGCCACCAGGGTAAGCGATACTAAGCCCAGATGCGCCTGGTCTGGGGCAGACACTTGGGCACCTCTCTCATTCCCTTCCCCTCCAACCCCGGGATTACAGGCAGTGGGGGAACTGCTAGCTAGAAGCCTCAGGTAGGAGAACAGAGGCCCACCTTGGCTCTGCCTCAGTTGGCTGTGTGATGTCAGGCAGGGAAAGGCACTTCTCTGAGCCTCGGGGTTCCATCTGCTAACCAGGCTGCTAAATGGTGCCTCTCCTAGCATTGTCTCTCCCAGCATCCTTAGCGAGCTGAAGTGAGCTAAGGCTGCTGAGCAGATAGGGACAGCACATGATCATTCTCACCACTCCTGCCTCCTCAGTAGAGCTTCGGGCCTTCCAGAACCCCAGCCCCATCCCCTGCCCCATCTGGGTCTGTCTGCTAAGGGGCTGTCATAGCAACCAGACAGGCAGAGGGAGGCATGTTTGCCTGAGGCCCAGGCTGGTGTGGCTGGCTGCCTGGGGGTCAGGGTGGAGGGAAGCCCCCTCCTCACACTACCTCAGGATATAGTGAAGGGGGTGCTGGGCTCATGGGGCCCCTGGGCCTCCGTTCTGATGAGCCCCTGGGGTGCCGCTTCTCCGCCTCTCCCCCCTTCCACTCCTGCCTGGGTTCCCACCCCACTGCCCCACCAGGCAGCCAGCACCACTTTCCATACACACATCTGGCTGCGTCCCTGCCTGCGGGCTAGCATCTGAGGCCCCTGGGTCTGCCAGGATACAGGCCCTGGCTCTGCAGAGGCTCCCAGCGTGCCCCTTCCAGCACAGCCAGGCTGCCTTGCTTCTTCTCTCCTGCCTGCTCGGCTCCTGCCCTGGCAGCCTGGACTCCAGTGACCGTACACAGTACAGCCGCAGTCCCCTCTCACCTGCTGACCTCAGTCCTGGGAAAAATGGCCTTTCCAGAAAGCCTTTCCCAGTGTTCTTTCCAGAGCCAGCAGCTCCCTCTTCATGGGACCTGCCTTTGGGGACATGAGAGGGCCTTGGGACACAGACTTGGGGTTTCCGCTCCTGTTTGTCGCCCCAGCGCCCAGCATGAGTGAGTGTCCGGGAACGCTCACTGAAGGAATCAGTGGGTCAGGGTGACTCCAGACAATGGAGGGGTCTGAGGGCTGAGGGAGGGGAGGGGCCTTGGGCCATCAGGGGGGACTATTTGGGTTCAGCTCGAGTGCGTGTGCACGGGGCAGGGCGATGGGGTGAGCTATAGGAACGCGTGGGACCCTGGTTCTGGCTTCCTCCTGCCCATCTCATATAGGGGGCTATGTAGGGGACAGCTCTGCGGTAGAAGCGCAGGGAGGGCACAAGGTCATGGGGTGGCACTATCCTGGAGTGCCCAGCAGGGAGGGCCAGCTGCTGGCCAGGGCTGGCCAGGTGGTAGGCACTCGAGGGCACCAGTTGGGCAAAAAAGCCCTGGCTGTGGCCTGCCTGGCCCAGGGCACTGCTGAGGGGGGACAGGAAACAGGCGTAGGTGGGGGCTCTCCCAGACGTTCTGGAAGATGTGGGGAAGAGGGGCTGGTGTCCCGGAGGGAAGCGCAGGCTCCAGCTGCACTTTCAGGCTCCCTGAGGCGGTCCTGGGGGCAGTTCTGGGCCAGCCCCTGGGCGCTTAAATGTGGGCATCTATGGACATGTCTAGTCTCTGCCTTCTCCATGTCTGCTGCCAGTCCTGCCTTGGCACTGCCACCCTGAGCCTGAGTGACAGGAGCTGTGTCTGGCCGCTCTTCTGGACTCAACCATGACCCCACCGTGAGCAGGGATCAGCTCAAAATGCAAACCTAGCACCAGCCTCCCCTGCCTGGTGCTGACTGGGACCTGGCCAGGCTTGTAGGGTGGCCCCCGGCCTTGCACCATCTGGCCCGCTTCCTTTGCGTTCTTCCCAGTCCGAGGTCCTTGAACCCACGGGCCTCTGGCAACAGTCACAGTGCTGGAAATGTTTCCCTGCTCCCACCATCGCCTGATAAACGCCCCTTCCCCTCAGCCCTCCCTGCCCCCATGCCCCCACCTCCTGCCACACTGAACTCTATCCCACATCAAGCCATATGTAATACTCAATGATCTTAGTGATGTTACAAATGAAAACCTGTCTTCTGCGCTCAGTAGAGGACCCCTACAGGCAGGAGCCGTTTCTTTATTCATCCGGTCTCATTGGGACCTGCGTACGGCAGGAGCCCAGAAAACACACCTGTCCCGTGAGCAAGTGAGATGACCTCTGACCTCAGCCAGCAGGAGCCAGGGCCTTAGGGCTCTGAGTGCGGCCACAGGCCCAGGGCTAGGCGTCCATGGAGGGGGTCTGGCCAAAGGGTCAAGTGGGGCAGTCCTGGTGAAAGGGCCCCGACTGCTTCAAGAGCAAAGGAAAGGTCGTGGGGGTGGGGTGGCCTTGGGGCTGTGGACAGCACTCCTTGGCACCACCCTACCTCAGAGCCACAATCAGAGTGGGAGGAAACAGTGCACCTTGGGCCACCGAGGGATGGGCAGGGCAGCGGTGGCAGTCCCATGCCAGTGGCTCCCACTGGAGCCACATGCCCGCCCAGGCCCCTCTCTGGCCCAGACAGGGTGGCTCCTGGCCTCCAGACGCCATTCCAGCAGCCCTGGCCTTGCCCAAGGAATGAAGCTCTGCCTGGCCCTCTGGCCCTCTGAAGGCAAATGCTGGCAGGCTGTGCCACCGCCAGGCTGTGAAGATGGCCAGGTCTGCGCAGACCTGGGGCTTCCCCGGCCAGTCACTCCTGGCACTGAGTCATGTGGCAAGGACCCAGACGCCACCCACCTGCCCACTTGCCTGCCAGGAACACACCAAGGCTATTAACAGGCCGTGCGGCAGCCATGGGAGGGTTTTATTTTCAAATAAACAGGCGGAAGCACTGTTATTTCTGTCAATAGTCACTGGGTTCTTCCCAGCAAGTTGGCAGGAAGAAGTCATATGCTATACAAAAATACATTTATTTTTACGGGCTTTAAAAAAGCCTGCCTGGGACTGTTTTAGGTCACCCTAACCTCCACTTTCAACATTTTCCCCAACTGGACCTTGGAAGTGCCAGTTCCTTCCCCCTCCACGCCCTGCTCTCTAGGCTCTCCCCTCCTGGCAAAGAGTTGGGGGACTGCCCAGAGCTGGGGGGATTTGGAGAGCGGTCTGGAGCCACGCCGGGAGCACGGAGTGGCTGCCGCTCACCCTTCTGCACAGGGGGCTCTGGCACTGAAGTCTGACACCCTGCCCCAGTCCCACGGCTTCTCAGGCTCCGTCCGACCTTTGGGGTGGCTGGACCTCCTGGGCTGCAGCGCTGCTCTAGTCCTTCCTTCCCCAGTGCCTCTCTCGAGGGCGCAGCCAGCTTTCCTCTCCCAGCTCCCCAGCTTTCCTGTTTCCCGAGAGGCCCCTCAACCCAGGAGGCACTCAGGAAGCCTTTATGGGGTGAGTCAGGACCAGTGGAAGGATACACCGCTGCCCTCCCTCTCTGCCAGCTGCCGGCAGCCCAGCCCTGTCCCTCCTTCCTTCAGCCACATCACTCCCGGATCCTCCCGACTCGTTTTCTAATGGCAAGCAGAAGGCCTGAGTCCTTATTTTTTCAGACGGGATCCCCCCAGCCTCGCTCCTCTAGTAGTGACACACGGTGTCCTTATTTGTCCTGGCCTGACCTGCATGTCCCAAATGGCCCTGCACCAGACCGTCCCCACCAACTCTGCCAGACCCACTGCAACCAAAGGTCAAGGGGTTCAGAAACGTGCCACATTCCACCCGCCTTGGGAAGCCACACTATCACTGAGGGCCCAGGATGCCCCACAGGAGAGACGCTGGCTTAATTGTTTAACCCAGTGTGCAGCCACATTCTTTTTGGCCCAGGAACTGCAGATGTGCCATGGGAACCCTATTCTCTTGAACCCTGCTGGGGGCCCCGCTGATGGCCGGCCCTCACTCTTCCTGGCCTCTCCAACAGCAATGCAAATGAATTCTGCATGTCGTTTCCCACAGCCACACACGGCCTCCAACCAGCCCAGCCCTGCGCCCAGCTGTGCAAGCACACGGAAGCCCTTGGCCAGGCCAGTACAGGCAGGGGCGCCCGCACGGCTCCACATGCTGACCTTTGCATGTCTTCCCGTCTGGCTGCAGCGTGAATCCAACAGGGCAGCTACATCGCACGCCAGTGGCCGTGTCCTTGCAAGTCCGGTCGCAGCCTCCGTTATTGACCGCACACGTCTCTGTGGAGGGAAAGAGACAGAGACCTCAGTCTCCTTGGGCAGAAGCCACTGTCTTTCCCCGTCCGGGGAGAGATCGTCTATGAGACAGGAGACCTGGGTTCCAGCTCTGGCTCTGATATACCCTCTGGCTGTGGGGCTCTAGGGAAGCTGCGTGGCCTCTCTGAGCCTCAAGCTCCCCATCTGTGGAATGGGTGAATGACACCATTCCTGTGGGTCATGTGATGAGGACGAGTACACTGTCTGTGAGCTGCAGAGGCTGTGCTAATGTGGCTGCTGCTAACAGGGTCAAGGTTACTATCTGGGTCCAGACTGGTCTGGCTGTATTTCACTGCCCAAGGCCAGATTCCTAAAACTTTGACCTTCCTGGACTCAGGCTCCAAGTCCAGGCTAGAGGTTGCCTCCAGGCTTGGAGGCAACGGGGGCCCCCAAATGCACCTCAGTACGGAGTGGCTTGTGGCCCGGGCCAGGGAGCCAAGGTGGAGGTTCTCAGGGCCCACACACCGTCCATCAATGTGATGAAGCTTTCAGCCCAACATCTGTTCTCAGTGAATATGACAAAGGCATCTGGTTTTTGTCCACTTGAAGCTTGCCTAGTGTTTTTTTTTTGCAAAATTCAAAGGGGCTAGAGTGGCTTGGGGCATAACGGAGGTCACTGAAGCCGTCGTGCTATGAGAGTGATCCTCCCCAGGCCCGGGGAAGGGGCTGGCAGAGCTGGCGCACCAGGGTGCCGGGGGCGCGTCTAGGCCTCTGATCTCTGCCACCCGGGTTTCTTCCCGACCATCTGGCAGGCTTTTAACTTCTGGAAACTGTGGCTGTGTGGGCTTCCCTCTCCGCTTTGCTGCTAGGAGGTAGAGAACCAGTGGGCGCCCATCTCTCATAACCTGGATTCCCCTGCCTGCCTTCGCCGGCGTCACCTGGACTCCTGGCCCTGGTGTGTCTTCACCCTGAAGGGTGTCCCTAACGGGTTTCCTCTGTTCCTGTGCTGTGGGATCTGCGTTTCTGCAGGCTGGGGGGAATAAATGAACATATACCCTCAGCTGTCAGGACTCCCTGTGGCTAATGAAATCAAATGCATGGTGCCTTTCCTTTGAACTTCACCTTGCAGGGGTGTGCAGGGGGAGAAGGAAAGCTCACGTTCCCTGTGTGTGCGCGTGTGAGCGAGCGTGCATCTGAGACTCTGCAGGGCTGCAGGGGTGGGCGTCCTACTCATGCTCCCAGTGGAAGGTGGGGGGCCTTGACCCTGGCTCCTTCTGTGTGTCTCCTCAAATCCTGGACCTCAGCTGGGCATGGGCAGTTTTTATGAACCAGTCTTTTGCCCTCCTCCCTCCTGCTACAGCAGTGTGCTTGTTCCAGGGCTCGGGTGACTCCTTCCTGTTCATCCTTCAAGGCCTGGTTTGGAGCCCACCTCCAAAGGAGCCCCCTGAAGCCCCAGACAGGCAGTGAAGGTGGCAGGCCAGTGTATGAGTCCTGGCTCTGTCACTCACAGAGTGACCCAGGCAGCCACCCCTTGGGGCTGCACCTCAGCACTCACACCTGGAAATGACTAGCCTTCTCTTCCAAGGCAGAGGTGAGGGTCAAATCAACCCGCTTACAGGCGCCTGGCTTGGGTCCTGGCACACAGTACTTGCCCAGTAGATGTTAGTTTCCTCCCTGGGCTGACAACCAGAGAGGGAACTCCTGCCTCCCACCCCCGAATCAAGGAGCCAATGGGCTCCCCCTCCTGCCTTCTCAGTTTTCCTGTGGGAGAGCCTCTCTGGAAAAGGGGCAGAGAACATGCCTGTTTTCCAGGTGGAGGTAATTAAGGCTCAGGCCTTGGAGAGATGGGAGAACATGGCGGGTGAGAGGGTCGGGGGGGACAGGCGCTGAACTTAGGGCTGGGGCACTGGGTCTCTGCGGAGGTGGAGGTGAGTGAGGTGTGGTGCAGGCACTGGGGGCTGTGACTCTGAGAAACAGATCCGGCCAAATAGACTCCAAGAATCCCGGAGGTCCTTCTCTTCCCTAAAGCCCCTAATGGGACATGGAAGCTCCACCTCAAAGGCTATCCGATCTCCGGACCAGGCAGCTTGAGTCTTCCCGAGCTGCCTCCGTCCATGGCTGCCTCGTAAACATTAGGCTTTGAACACAGTCTCTTGGTCCCTTAGGGGCTATTCTTGGGTGCTGATCATCCTGCTCCACAGCATGGACCACACGGTCACCAGGGGCCAGGCCCTGCTCCACCTCCCTCTCCTGCTCCCCCCAGCCCCCACTGCGGCTCCTGTGCCCCCCACTTTCCTGAAGAGGACACGGTATGGAGCATCAGGAACTGGAGGGGGCCTGCTTCTTCTGAGTCTAACCCCCTGGGCTCCTTGCGGGCAGGGACCCACCTGGCAGCTCAGGGCCCAACACCAAGCACGTGCCATTGGACTCTTCATCATCCTCCCCTAGCAGCTCCTCCTCCAGTGCTCTCTGTGGGCAGGAATGCTACCCCCATCTGCCCCAAGCTGAAGACAAGGAGCCCCCTCCCCCTGGGACCCAGGGCCTGGGCCTGTTGCTTCCCCAGCACTTCCCAACTCCAGCCCCTGCTCTTACTGTGGCTAAGCTGCCGCTGTCCTCCTGTGACTGTCACTGCCTCCCACGGTCCCTCCTCCAGACCACTGCCTTACCCTGGGCAGCCAGAGAACTGTGCCCACGTCGGGCTCATGTAAGAGTTGGGAGCCGGCAGTCCCCAGGATGTTCTCTGCCAGGGGAGGAGGGTGGAGGCAGGGAGGGTGGAGTGGAGTGGAGGCAGCAGTCTGGCCCTGGGCGCACCCTCAGCTCTTCCTGCTGTGGGGCCCGGGGCAGGCATCCCTCCTCTACAACACGGTGGCGGCCGCGTCTGCGGTGCCCACCTCAGCCATGTTGTGAGGTTTTGAGATGTTCACTACAAATGCAAGCCGGGTACAGGAAGCAGCCATGAGGCTGACCTATGTGCTCTGGGCTGAAGTGGAGGCTGGGACCCAAGTCTACAGTGACAGGACGTGCGGGCCTGGTGGGGCTGAGCACCTCGTCCCTGGTTTCCAAGCAGAGGCTCCGGTGCAGCTGCTGAGGAGGCCCCTGCTTCTGTGGCAACCAGCCTGGACATCACCCCAGTCCCCCATCTCTGAGAGCATCAAAAAACAGCTTCACCTCTCCTGTTCCCCAGGATCAGAGGTCACCCAGACCTGGTACTAGGCCGCAGCTGTCGCAGAGACAGTAAGGAAGCAGGCCGCCATCCCACGGCGTGACCACTCTAAACACAAGTGGCAAACAGGGCCCAGAGGCCGTGGCAGTGGCCGCTCTGCCCAGTGGGGAGGTTAGGGTGGGCTCTGCATCTTCCTCCCCCTCACCCAGGGGCCTTCTCTGGGTCCCACCCCGGCCTCTGCCCCTTCCCAGGGGCTGACATTATGGCCCCATGAGGAATCTCTCCCACCCAGAAACATACTCGTGGAGGGCGACACAGGTGCCTGGGACTGGGAAGGGGAGGAGGGCGCAGTGCAGCCTCCAAGAGCTCTGTTCAGGGACCTGAAGACAGGATTTCCCTGTGGACCCTGGGAGCCCTCGTCTCTCTGTCCCTAGCCTCTAGGTGAGAGCTATAGAGCTCTTTCCAAAGGCCTTCTCTCCCCACCTGCAGAGATCATGGAATGAAGCAGCCCTTTGTAGTGGACAGGCCTCGCAGCAGCCCCACGCCCCAGTGCAGAAGCAGACAGGCCCCTGAGGCATGGAGAAGTGACACTGCCTGTCCAGGTAGGAATCACTACATCATCTGTGGAACCCAGTGCCAAATAAAAATGAAATGCTCTTGTTCAAAAATTCTGGAGAATTTCAAGACAGAGATGGAACATGAAACCCATGGTGGGCCCTTCTAAGGGTAGGGGCCTGGGCTGCACACATGTTGCGCACCCTAGAAGCTGGCCGTGCTCGGGTCACACAGCTATGGGGAGGAGCCCGTATTTGAACCCAGAGCTGCAGAGCCCCAGGCTGATTAGTGAGCCGGACAAGGCCAGAGAGCTGGGCTTTGGCAGGGGATCCTGGCGGTGAGACCTGCACCCCCTGGTGCCCTGGCTTCCTCCAGCTGGCGGGGACTGCTCTCACCCCGAAGGGCGGGGGTAGCCAAGGAGGAGGAAGGTCAGGTGCAGGGCTGGCTGGGGCTGGAGAGTGTGGGGAAACCTCAGACAGGTTAAAAGGTCCCGCCTTTGGTCTGTCCCAGGGGAGCTCCTACTTTGGGCCAGGCCCTGCAGGGGAGGCCAGATGCTCCACTGGAGCCCCCACGCAGCCTGGTCAGCGCTCCAACAGAGGGAAGCAGGGGCCCAGGACAGAAGGACGCCTAGGAGCAGCCGCAGCCGCTGCTGCCATTTGGGTTGGCACTGCCTGCTTGTGCTGTCCCAGGTCTGGGGCACAGTCTGAGTCACCGTGTGGTGGACAGAAAAGACACGTGCTGTGGAGTCAGAGCGACAAGTTTCCCCAGGCCGGCTGCGTGACCTTGGGCAAGTCCCTTTGCTTCCAGATGTGTAACATGGAGATAACCGTATTTACGACATAGTTCTTGCAAGACCCAGGCAGAACAGTGGGTGTGACAGTGCTCTGTAAGCTGCTCTGTGATTGGGTCACTCTCACTTTCGGTGCCATTCTTGGAAGCTCTGCCTACGGAGGCTCAGCACCTGCAGGCAGTTGCTAATTCATTCGGTGATTAGTATCTGAACTTCTCTGCGCTGCGCAGATGTGCCTTGAACACAGCCCCTGGTCTCACGGGTGGGTCAATTTCACGGTGCTGGGTGGCTGGGAGAGGGGAGCTACAGAGATGAATGTGACATGTCCCAGGAGTCAACAGCTTATGGGGCGGCAGGGGGCAGCAAATAAGGCCCAGACCTCGCCTTTCTCTCCTGGGTCTGTGCCTGCCTCTCACTCTGCCCACCTCCCAGCCCAGGCCCCGCCACACCCAAGCACAGCTCCTCAGGGTTCTACAGGGCACTCCCGTTGGCCTTGAGGAACCAATTCCTCATGAC